TGATGTAGAAAGTGTGCTAGGAACTAACCCCAGGAGATGGTTTACATTTTCTTTCTAGGTGATACTTACACAAGAACTTCACCACGGCTTACAGGAGCTATGTCTGCAGTTTCTGCCGCAGTGGTTACAACATTTTCCTGTCATGTGGCGTCAAGTCGTGGTAGTGAAACCATAAACATGAGGCTCAAGAGTCTTAGCACTGGTCACTGCCTGTGGCAGTGCTCTCGGCACTTGCAGCAAGCAGCTCTGCGACAGTTTTTTTGCTCTTATGGTTAAGAGCTGGCTGATTTTCCTTCAAAACTGTGTTCTGCCATCTCTCCAGGTAACCACAATTCATTAGAGCTGCCTCTTGTTTCAAACTTTCCCAGAGTGTTGGAGAAATGTGGTAGGGGCTTAGTATTGAACCATGCTTTGGTGGTGGCACTGAATCCCCAAATCAACCTTTCTTGTGTCCAGCTTAAAAAACCTGAGATCTGCAGTCCTCCATGCCTAAGCTTTCATGCTTGATAGTCTGAGTAAAGCCTTGCCCTACAGCAGACTCATTATTATCAAGAGAACTGGGGGAAAGGAGGTGGAATAAGTAGGATAAGGCAAAGCCACAGTAATACAAAACACATGTAAATTACGCTACGAGATACCATAATAAGGATGTAATGGAGGGGGAAAGAAAAAGAAAACGAGTCCTATTGTTGCTTCAGTAGCAAAAGCCAGCATTGGTCTGAGGTGGTAAATCCACCTTTCTCGGGACTGTGGAAAGGCAATTACAGCCCTAAACACAGCTCGCGCCACACCCAGGCACCGCGAGCATCCTCGCATCAGCGGCGACAGTGAATCCCTGGCTCTGCGGCCAGCTCAGGGGCGACCATGGTTCATCCGAGGCAGAAGGACAGGGAGATGCCAGGGCTGTTCGGTGCCAGCCTGGCTGTCTCCGGGGTACAAGGGACCTGCCCCGTCACTGACTGGCTGGTCACAAATGCTTGGCAAGTGAGTCTGTATGCCTTCACCATCTGTGTGAAATCTTTCCAACCATTTAGATTAAACACTGACTTCACTAAAATTTAGGGCTCCTAACTGTCCTGACATGGTCCATATGGAGTAGCTGCCACAGATAGTGACTATCCTGACACTGATTAATCACTTCTTGTTGTGTATTTGTCCCTGGTTAATTGACACAGCTCTTCCCTAATAGCTTTTGAATAGTTCTGGGGTATTCATATGACCTTGGCTTTGGGGAATAGTCTATCTGATGACACACATTACCTGCTTCCATGTAGGCTTGGCTGCTTTTTATCAAACTAACTTGGATATTAACTTTTGGGGTTTTTTTTCTTTCCTCTGTGTACACCAGTGTCTACCCTTTTCTACAATGGGAAACACCTTATCTATGCTGATTGTGTTTGGTTTAGGTGGCACCATTAGCAGTGGGCTGGGGTTTGGTCTGTGCTATATAGCATGTAGATACTGACTGTGGTTCCACCTCTATGTCCTTAGCTGTCACAGTCACAGGCATGACAAGCAATCTGCATTACAGATGCTCCCTGCTTTGAAACTAGCAGTTAAATGATCTGTGACTCGAGTCAATCATTGCTCAGACAGCAGCGAAGCTGTCTAACATGCCAAACTAAATGCAGAGTTTCTCTCTCAAACCGAACATTGTTCTTTTGTTCAAAAGTACGAGATCCAGAAGCAAAGGCAATAGATCTTCCCGGCTGATCTTCCATCAAGTGTGAGATTATTACACCCAGTCCTTATGGAGAAGCATCACGTGAGAGATACAGGCATCAAGGCACTCTGGTAAGGACCCGTTCTGATGAGACTGGTTTCTCAGCTCCTTCACCAGCCTTGGTGCAGGGTGCGTGTGGTTCAGCGCTGGCTCGATCCAGCGTCTGCCAGGTCAGCAGGGATTGCTGTGGAAGGCGGTGACTCACCAGTCCCAGGGAGCAATGTATTTGTGGAATTTGCAGCAAAAGGATCTTAAAACCGTTTTCAGATTTTCTTTCCCTCATTTTTCTTTGTGATTTGTATAAATTATTTTCCCCAGCAGAATGGCAGGGAAAATTCAACACATCGTTACATTTTTGAGATATTTTCTTTTGTTTTTCCTATACACTCAGACCACCCTTCAGACTTGGACAGATGACTGACTTGCTGAGTATAAGGACTGGCCATGTGTCAGCTGAACCTTGAGGACTCAGTAACTGTCTGCACCCTGAGCCTGGACCACAGCCACAATGTGACACGATTTAATCTTCGTTCACCACAGGTGACTGCTAAACCGAGTTGTATTAGCAGATACTGTGCTAGTTAGTTGGGAAGACACATACGACCAGCGCTGCAACCCATCTGAGAGCAATACTGAGTTAGCTGGTGTAGCCTGACCACATGCTTGAGCTTCTCAAGTACTTTTGGAAGTTCTTGTGGTGCTCCCCATCTCTAGATCCACAAACACTGCGTTGTGTTAGTGCCAGCATCTCAGGAATGCTCTCTCCCATCTGATCCATGACTCAGAACCGAATAGTTGTTACAGATAGTCCTTTCTCTTAAATAAGACCTGGCTTGTTTAATCTTGAAGTAGTTCTTGCCATGTTCCTCAACCTTCTTTTGCAGATAGACTTGGGTCAGGATAATTACTGAGGCAAATATATCCTCTCTTCTGGGTTATGGCTGTTGATCTACATGTCATACTGAGTTAGCTGTGACCTTGAAATCACCATAGATATAGACAGCCCTGTCTGTTTTCATGGCTATCACCAGTTGTTTTAAGAGTTTAGATAACTTTTCTTTTTGGCTCACAATAATTCACAAATTTTCTTTCGATATAAGCAGGTACAAGATATTTTGTCAATCCAGCTACATTGTGGCCATCTTATGCTGTGTAATACCTTCCTTAATATCACAGAGGTTGAGTATATGCCGGCTGCTGTTGTGTTACTTATAGTAACATTCAGGACAAAGATTACTTGAGCATGTGTTTTTAGAAACAGATTTTCTGTACCATCTCCTTTCTAAGAGGTCTTTGATGATCCCACTAGTAAAATGTCAGTACAGTGAATCATGTTTCATTTTAGATGTTATTGTCACTTTAAAGGATTCCAAATAATACTTTTGTTTCTTGTGAACCGATAGAGGCAATTACATAGACATTATGGCTTTCTACATTCATTGCGCATTGTTGTATGCAAGCTGAAGAATTTGAAGTTAACTAGCATCGACTTTCTAAACTGGTGGCTGAGTTTGATTTGCCAGCTTGCATGTTTTCTGCTGGTGCCCCATCCCTTGCAGTTTCTATGTGGTTTGTCCTTGAAGAAATGACAATGTGTATTATGAAACTGTCTCTTGTGATAGAAGCAGGACATTCTTTAAACATCCTCCAAGCTGTACTTTCCACTTGACTCCTAAGCATGGCTGTTGGACAGATTTTGTGATGCTCCCCGAACTCTCCAGCATCTTCAGTGAGGCTCCATTGAAATGGTAATTTCTAGAGCATACTTGAGGCTCATCTCAGCTTTAGATAAAAATTAAATGTGGATTGCTTCATTCTGCATATTGAATACTAAAAGATGCACTCATTTGTCCTCTCTGCAAACACATGATGCTCTGCCAATTTCCTTAATCCAGGCACAGGAATAGTCGGCAATTGTTTCCATTCACTTTTGATTCTATCTGAAAAAGGAAATACCTGCAATCACGAGAGGCTTTTCAGAACAGGGATTTTGTAGAACTTGCCCAATTTCAACAAACTTTTTGTCTGCTGGCTTAATGGGCACTATCTGGCTGCACATCGGGGTGTCGGTTTTAGCTCCCATTGTGCTGCCAAGTGCTTTTTATAGCAGCCATCATCTGTTATTTTAGGATTTCCCCATCTCTCAGTGGCCCTCTACTGACCTGCCAAAGAAGTGCAATTCCCCCTTGCCATATTTTAAACTTTTCTTTGTAAGTAGATTGGTCACCTGCCTGATATTGCAGCTTATATTTAATTTCAGTTTTCACAGATTTTCATATGTAGTCATTCCCTGTTTCATCCACTTCTAGACTAGTATCCCATCCTCGTCACACAGTTTTCAACTTCTGTGTCTATGTGGTGTTAATAATACCCAGCAGCCCTACAGCTGGATCCCCAGAGACACTTCTGAGTTATCTCCAGAAAGACAGGAGTAGATACATGAATGCACTACCATTTATCAGAGTAAATGAAAGCAGAGAGCTTTATTAGAAGTCTCACAGCTGATTTAAATTAATATTGCCAACTATGATGTTTTACAAAGCGTCTTCCAGAAAAAATAGCCATGTCTTCACTGTAAATTAAGGACGGTATTGAGATGTACTCACTTTTGCAGCAAGGCATTGAACACAGTCAGGCATTACCAGGGCAGACAGCAGCTCTCAGCCCAGGTTCTGGGCTCTGACCACTCTGTGAGTCTCCAATATTTACTCCTTGTGCCTGGCTATGTGAAGCTTGTTCCTGCAACAATTGCAACATGGAGGTCCAGCCAGGTTTGTGTTCCTAAGAGCTCAGCCATAGATACATCCGTTGTTACCTGGCAGAAGAAAATATCTGCCACAGCTGAGATACATCTGCCTCTGCTACTCGCCAGTGAGGTGTAGCTGGTACCATGGCAGAGGTACAAAGGCAGAGTCATTCACTCTATCTGGTGCATTTGAATTATGGGGTGTGAAGCATGACCTTCCAGAAATTGGACTTAGAATTGCACAGAAGTTTCCCATTTTGCTAATTTGATATGAGCTAATCTGAGGCAATCAAGTCAAGTGACACACGGATACAACCCATATTCCTCTTTAATTTCTGGTCCAAACTATGCTTTTCACTACTTCCTTTTTTCTTGCTTTTTTTAAAAACTTTTTTACAAATAATCGCTAGAAAAGCAACTCAGAACACGTCTAGAAACCAGGCAGCTTACCAGTTTCACTTCCTTCCTTTTCTCTGCAACTCAGTGACGTGCAGTGCGAAGCAGGAGTGGTGAAACATAATGCTTGGCATTTCAGGAGATTTCTCACTTCAGGTCTTTGAGTGATACCCATGCTGCTTTCTCCTACATGCCTGGCCTCCTGAAGATGCCCAGGAGAGAAACTCTTTCTCTGTGGACTCTTGTGGTGCTGCTGCAGCTGGCATTTGTCCCGTCACAGCTCCTCAATCGCTGTTTGGAGGTATGTGATCTCTAAATGAGCACGAAATCCTTCTCTTTCTCGGGTGCAACTTTTCTCTCTGCTTGGGAGATTTGTGCATTAAGTCTGTTGTGAGTTAGTTGTCTCAAGAAAGCCCATCTTTCTTCCGAGGTTGTTACCAAGGCAATTGAAGTATTTGAAATAAATGCTGGTCTCAAAAACATCTGAGAACTAGAACCAGCAACATGAACCATTTCTTCTTGCTGACTTTCTATGCCTCTGAGGTTACTGCAGTACAGTTAATTTAATAGATTATGTTTCCCTTCAGGAAGAGATCCAAGCCTTGTCTATAATTTCTGCAAAATTCAGTATTTTGGCCTGATTTGTTCTGTAGAGTGATTTCACCAGTACCCCAAGTACCCGGCACTTATCAACTGCCTTCTGCAAACCTTTGCCGACAATTATTACTTACAGAATAACTTTTTGAATAAAACTACCTGCTTATCTGCAGTGTAACAAAGCTGAGACCTGATCCTGGACACACAATGTATCTCGAGTGTTTGTTTTGCTGGCTCTCTCTCCAAGGTTGCTGCCGTTTCACTCATAGCCTCAAGGAACACTGTCCTGCGGTTTTGCACCTGCTTCAATCAGCAAGAAATGTAGCTCTTCCTGAGGAGTAGGACTGGTTCTATTAGAAGTGGGAAGGATGCTTAGGATATATAAGATTATTTCCCGAGACACAGGGCAGCTCATTTAGAAATTAACTACAAGGTATAGTTGTTCTGCTCCCACTTTCCTGATGGTGAAATTTTCTGGCGCTTCATGAAGAGCAGGTGTTGACCATGATCGAATCTTCCACTGTTACAGATCATCCCTCACAAAGCTTTCAGATGCATGGGGCTGAACGTCTCTGGAGTTCCCGCTGAAGTCCCAAACACCACCCAGAAGTTGGATCTCAGTTTCAACAATCTGACATCACTGGGGTCAAATTATTTTTCGTCAGTGCCTGAACTGCAGCTTCTGGATCTTTCAAGGTAATGAGCTCTTTTATGTGGATACCAGTTAATCTTGCTCCAACAGCTGGGCAGCCCTGGTTGCTTATTTTGGAGTCTGTTGGTCTAGGCTGTTCATTATTTTTGTTCTGTCTGTCTGCACTTGCTCATGGTCAAGTGATGTGCAGCTTTTAGTCCAGTTAGAGTGCACGCCTTCTGTGCAGGGCTTGGTCTGTCAGTCTGATCTTGTAGTTGGGATGTGAGAAGGAGGAGGAAGACGTTGTTTTACTTCTCTCAAAAGAAAAATGTCAGACTTTTCACTGTTACAAAAACTCCGAAGTGGAACATCTTGGGTGAGCTGTTTTTTTAATCACAGTTTAAAAAAAATAAAACGAAGGTACATTCATTTTCTAAAAGGCTGTTTTAAAATATCAACATATTCTCATTTCCCTTCTCCTCACATATGTGGGGGGGAGATGGGGAGGCTTATTAGCAAATTTGAATTGATGTATAATTTCCATTGACTTGGGACAACAGTTTCTCTGGGTAAATTGTTTCACTGAAAAATGTCACTCAGTCCCATCACAGTTACAGCTCTGAAGTGGCTGAGTGGCAGAGCAGGTTTGCTGTAAGGCACTGGCTGGATCATAAAACTACTTTCACTTGAATTCATTGTGGGATGGATTTGAGTCTCAAATTCTGGATCTTCCTGTATGAAACCATGTTTAGGTGGCCACCTTTTTCCCCTCTTCCTTTTCTCCTTTAGAGCTAACATGATCTAGAGTCTTTTCCCTCAGATATCAGCAAAACTGCTGGCAGAGTTGTGAGCTTTACCACTGCTACGTCATGCTGGTGCCAATGGGACTGCCCAGATGTGGCTGAGGTGGCGGTCTGAAGGCTGTGAGGGTGCAAGATGGAAGGTAGTGCTGTAGCTAGTTGTGTCTGCCATCAGTGATGGTCATTGTGATGTTACTTTGGCCTAAACAGAAAGCTAAAACGCTTCTTTCGTGCTACCTGCATGAATTCTTCACCTTCACTGTGGCTCGAGCTCTCTTGCTTTGTAACTGAACTTCAGATTTAGAAAGGGAGGAGAAGGTCTCCTGCTATGGAAGGGTTCTCTTTGCACATCCAGGAGTGCTGGCTCTGCCCAGAGAGTGAAGCCAAATCGACCCTCAGCACGTCGATGAGCCTGAGAATGTTGCACCAGCACTTAGTGCAGTAGCATTAGTGAGCACGTAATGAAAGAGACAGTGTTTCATGGACATTTATTCTCTTTTCCTGCCCAACAGGTGCCAACTCCTTACAATAGAAGATAACTCTTTTATGGATCTTCATAAACTTTCCACCTTAATTTTAACTGCCAATTCCCTCCAGTATCTGGGGACAGCAGCCTTCTATGGCTTAACGTCTCTGAAAAAACTAGTATTGGTGGAAACCAGCATAGCCTCTCTGACTGACCTACCCGTTGGACACTTGCATATGCTGCAGGAGCTGAATTTGGGCCACAACCACATTGCTTCATTGAAGCTTCCCAACTATTTCACCAACCTGACCTCTCTCAGGCACCTGAGCTTTCTCTCTAACAAGATCACACATATCTCCAAAGGAGATCTTGATGCCCTGAGGGAAGCAAACAGGCTCAACCTCACACTGGTACTTTCCTTAAATAATATAAAATACATACAGCCAGAGTCTTTCTCAAAGATTCACCTTGGTGAGCTGGTTCTAAGGTCTTCTTTTGAGAACTTCAATGTGATGCACACTTCTCTTCAAGGCCTGACTGGTTTGCAGGTCAACAGACTAATAGTTGGAGAATTCAACGACATTGAGAAACTTGTGAACTTTCAGAGTGGACTCTTGAGTGGACTGTGTCAGGTACAGATGCAAGAGTTTGTTTTAATCTCTTTCAGGAGATTTGACAATAACACAGACACTCTTTTTAACTGCATAGGCAATGTCTCCAGTATTCGGTTGGTGGACCTCCAACTTGAAGAGGTGTCAGAGGTTCCTATGTCCTCTCAAGTGAAACAATTGGAATGCCAACGATGCAAGTTTAAGGAAGTGCCTGCTGAGAAGCTGTCTCTTTTCAAGGAGCTGAGAGTGCTTCGTGTTATCAAGAGTAAACACCTCAATAGCTTCCACCAGAAATTTCAGAATCTAAGTAACCTGGAGGTCGTAGATTTGAGTGAGAATCGCCTCTCCTTCACTGGCTGCTGTTCCCCTCAGTTTCGTGCATGTCCAAATTTGAAACACTTGAACCTAAGCTTCAATTCTGACATCAGTGTGACTGGAGATTTCATTAATGTGAAGAATTTGTTATATTTGGACTTTCAGCACACAAAGTTATTTGGTCCTGGCTCCTACCCTGTCTTTCTGTCCCTTCACAAACTCATTTACCTTGACATTTCCCATACTAGAATTCATATTAAATCCCAGTGTACATTTTGTGGCTTGAACTCTTTGCAAGTGCTCAAGATGGCAGGCAACTCCTTCGAGAACAATAAACTGGCTAACAACTTCAAAACCCTAAGTCTCCTCCACACCTTGGATATTTCAAGTTGCAAATTAGTACAGGTGGATCAAAGTACGTTTGATGCCCTCTCTGAACTAAAAGAGCTAAACATCAGCAACAATAAGCTACTGAGCTTTGATCCTGTCGTCTACAAGCCACTCCAAGCCCTCACATTCCTGGATTTCAGCAACAACCAGCTGAGTGTTCTGTTGGACTCAGCCCTGGAAATCCTGCCTGATAGTCTGATCCTGTTAGACATCTCTCAAAACCTGTTCGAATGCTCTTGCGTATACCTGAACTTTCTGAAATGGATCAAGGAAAATCAGGAGCTACTGCACAACAAGGAGTTGATGATATGTCACATGCCTGCATACATGAAGAACGTGAGCTTGTCGAGCTTTGATCTATCCTCCTGCCAAGTCAGTGCAAGCACAGTGACATTTTCAGTGATGACGTTGCTCACTGCAGTGGTGTTCCTCTTCCTGATTTACAAGTACTACTTCCAGTTATACTACTCGTTGGTGCTGCTCATTGGGTGTAAACACTCTGCAGAAAGGGGTGACATCTATGATGCATTTGTTATCCACTCCAGCAAAGATCAAGAATGGGTGATGAAAGAGCTGGTGGAACCCTTGGAAGGAGGAACACCTCCCTTTCAGCTTTGTCTTTACTACAGGGATTTCCTACCAGGGGTACCCATTGTCACAAATATCATCCAAGAGGGTTTTCTGAGTAGCAGAAATGTCATTGCAGTCATCTCTACTGACTTTCTGGAGAGCAAGTGGTGTAGCTTTGAGTTTGACATTGCCCAGTCCTGGCAGCTTGTTGAAGGAAAGGCTGGAATCATCATGATTGTGCTAGAAGAGGTGAATAAGGCCTTGCTGAGGCAGAGGCTGGGGCTGTCCCGATACCTGAGGAGGAACACCTATCTGGAGTGGAAAAACAAGGAAATTAATAGGCATATCTTCTGGAGGCAGCTGACAGGAGTCCTGCTGGAAGGCAAAAACGGAATCATGAGGAAGTAAAGCTCATGTGAAGAGAAACAGAGATCACTTCTCTCCTGTCTCCCATCCTGGCCTCAGCTGATGGCTGGTGCACTCAAGCCGGTTCTTCTGTGGCTGTTCAGAGTTGGAGGAAGTGGATGGAGGCACTGCAAAAGCACTACAGAAATATCTGCCTTGCTGTTCACCCTTTCTTAAGAGAACTTGCAAGCTAAGGAGTGACAACAGCTAGAAGAGCTGCACATGTCTGAGCTCCTTTTTGTAGCTGTCAGCAAAAGCTGGTCCAGCAATCCACGCAGGTCTGGTGTGTTGGTGAAAACATGGACTGCTCTTATTGTCATTTGTCTGCCTCTGAAACTGGATTTGGGTCGTGGGGTCATTTACCCAGTGGAGCTTTCAGGTCTGTTGCTTTGAAAGGACCCCAGGATCTCCAGGGGAGAGCAAAGGTACAACATTCTTGTCTCTAAAAATGGTGAGAAACAGAAACAAGATTTGGATCCTGAAAGCCTTGGGTCCTCCTCCTTAGGCACCATGACTCAGGGGAAAAAACCTACAGGGGGAAATGGGCTGCCCTACAGTCACAGATAGCCTGGCAGCTACTCAGTGAAGCTGAGCAGTTATGTCATCTGTGTGGGGAAAGGTTGCTGTTAGTGGGAAAATTACCCAACATGTTTATTTCGGTTTTCTTTAGACCAAGACCAAATACTGAAACTCCCAAATATTTCCGTCACCTGGAACTCTTATTTATATCCAGATTATTTAGCATTAGGGTTTGAGGTTTTCTTGTGGGATTTAAAAATCGGTGGGACCAGAAGAAGCCATAGAAATGTTTAACATCTTTAACACCATTTCTTTGATCCAACTGCTTCTCTTCGTCCACTGTTTCTGGATAGACTGTACAGGACTGCCCTGCAAGATTGAGCCTGAGCAAAGTGTTTTGATGTTTACAGCCAGTTCTAGAATAAGCTTTTCCACTCTCCAGACCAGCCTTAATTCACTGTTGGAAGGTGCTGTAGGAGCCTCCAGCCCATGGGTTGAAATGGACTTCAGATATATTTGGACCTAGCAATGAGGCTGATGGTCCCTCTTCCTTCCCCTATCATGCTGTGGCAACCTCTGGTTCCGGTGGGCATCTCACCATGCGTGGTCAGCCTTTTCCACGGTTCAGCGGCTATGTTGAACAGGACGGTCACTGAGTGGGAGAATTTTGCCTTTGTTTCGCTGAGAACATACCTGATATTTTGCAGGGAGAAGAGAGAGGAGAAAAGCCTGGGTTAGCTCAACTAAATGTATCCCAGCACTGCCCTGAAAAAGAGAAGGAAAGTCTAAATGCCACTGAACCACATTACAGAGCACTCCACCCATGTGTCGAAGAGTGAACACTGCTGAAGTATTGCTCTCTGTTTACGGAAGGCTTTGGTTGGGATTAATCACTGAATTAGTCTAGTTTTAAACTTGCAAATCCTTCTATAATCAATGATGTTCTACAGAGAAAAAACAGAAGCAATTGAGTGGTGAATCAGATCTGGTATTTATTCAGAAGAAAGGGCCTGATCCATCTCAATTTTTCCTAAGCACCAGTCAGCCACAGCTCCGTGGAAGCTAGTGATGAGATCAACATCAGACACTATTTGAAAAAGAGGGAGAGCTCGTTCCAGGGCTTGTGCTGGAACAAGCTGAATCACAGCTCCCTCTCTATGTGCTGTGTCAGTAGTATGTAGGGATAACACTACCAAAAACACCCACAACCCTCTCTGAGGTTTTTGTGATCTATGAGATGAAGCTTTAATAAAACTAAGATCCATGCTGTATTCACTTGCCCAGAGAGTTTGTTTTGCATCTGCTGAGTACTGGTGCAGCAGTTTCCAAAGTGGAGTGCTCCTTACCTCTGCTGTGATCGACGGGTCTTGAGTGCTGCATCCTGCCAGCAGAGTTGCTGGAGCTGGGGAGGGGGTGCAGTAAACCAGGGCACAGCTCGAGGTTTCCTGGATCAAGGCCAAAGGAGAGCACGGAGAACAAAGCAAATATTAGCCCGGATTTCAGCAGCTACAAGTTAAATTGGAAAACAAAAGAGGAAAAATTAAATGGGGTGGGTGTTACTGCTCCTGAATTGAGCAGCACTGAAGCAGCATTTCTCCCTCGCTCTTTCTGTCGCTCCTCTATGAACAATTCAGTGTATATATATTTCTGGCACAAAGCAGTGAGTCCTATGATTCTTGATTGTAATTATAATAATGAGTTTCAGAAAGCCTTCAAGTGGTTCTGGGCATTATAATAAGGGTTTAGGACACTATTGTTTAAAAAGCAAGTGTTAGTTGAATATCAAAGCAACTTTTGGAGGAGAGCTGGGGTGATGCTGAGAGGAGGCTCCCCCTGTACAATGTAAAGAGAAACCAGTCACTTGTTTTTCTTTTCCTATTCAGAGTCTTCACAGCAGAGATGGCTACGTGGGGTGCCCCAAGCTTTCGTACTGCCGGAGAGAAAGCACAAAAGCCATCGCAGCTTCTGGAAGGGGTGAGGGGAGTGAGACAGAGACTAGAGGCTGATGCATTCATAAAACAAGGGAGTTAGGAAGAGATTCATCCTCTGCAAGCCCTACAGTCACTGTCACTCCTGCTCCTCTCCACGCATTTAGAGATTTCTCTTGGCCTCAGCAGTAGTTGGTGCTTTGAAGACATAAAATGATTTTTTTTACTGCTGAGATGTTCAGCAACTGAACTGGGATTATTTATTTTTTGCTGCATGGCACAACGAGGCTCAGGGGAACAGTCTGACTGGTGAGACGAAAGCCCCTTGAGGGGACCTGGGTGCCAGGGACAACCTGGCTGTAAATGTCCATCCACACTGCCACAGGAGCAGCTGGGTGAGCCGCTCTCAGCCCTCCCCGAGGGCTCATTAACCTGCCCTGGCAGTGCCCGTCCTCTGTACTTTGTGGTTTATGAGTCCAGGAGGGAAAAGGCTATGTAAACAATTAAATTTTCACCATTTACCCAGCAGAGAAAAGGTAGATCTCTTTTTGGAAGACGCAAAACTTTTCACCGTACTATAAATGGGGAAAATATAATGATTCAAACAGAAACACACACTCATATTTGCCTTTGTAATAGGAAGCAAATTTCCGAAAGAAAACTCTCAATGTTCTCATGTTTCCAAACCTGCTGGCATGCATTGTTGTTTGGAAGCGTTGACTGTGCAGCAGGTAGCTTTGATATTGTTTACTTGTTTGGGTGACTACATGAACAGCCAACCAAACATCCATGCACGTCTGCATTCATCTCTCATCTAAATAGCTGAACATATTCCAGTTATTAAAGCATCTGTTTTACTCAGGTCATAAAAACAGATGGAGACGAAGCTCCAAAGAGCTGTTGCATCCAAACTATTTCATTTCATTTGTAATGGGAATGTGCCCTGATTTCACAATGTACATCGTTTGACCCATGCTAAATACCAGCACAGCTGAAGCTCCGGTTTGACTGGCATTGCAGAGGGTGAGGTCTCCGAGACAGACCATCATCATGCGCCGGCATCGTCGCCAAGATGCGGTGTGCAGTCAGGGCTCTGAGCGGAGCGAGCTCTCATTAGCGTGATTGCATTTGTGGTCTCCACACTGCAGCAGAGACATTATGTAAAAGCTGAAAACTAAATCATTTGCATTGACTCTTGCCTGGATCTGGCTGGCTGCAGGAACGGCTCTGCGGGAGTGCTCCCTTTGCCTCCCCAAGAACCAGCACAGACTTCCCGTGTCAGTTAAAAAATCAACAAGAAAAAGCAGCTGGTTTCTCTGGGCTGACTTATACTTGACAGGAACAGGTTGAAACTTTTTTGGAAGAGTGTTTGTCCTTTGGGAAATGCAATTTTGTAGGTGGTTTATGTAATTTAATGAGGTAGCGTAGTGAATATATGGAAATTGTCATAGCAGGGTTTCTGGTTTAGTATTGCATGGCGTTGTAATCTTGGAGCAGACGTTTTGCATGGAAACAGTGATTTTTCGCAGTGTTTTGGAGGGGTTGGAAAAAAAGGATTTCAACTAAAAGTTAAATTGCTCCACAACATCATTTTAAAAAATGTCTATTTAGGCTTTTCCTGTTGTTTCTCAGAACACATTTTCATTCTGAAATTTCTATTTACATAATCTGACTAGCCTCCCAAAACACACTGAAAATGTAAAAATGTTTCCACCCACCCAAATACAGCCCCACAGATTTTGTTCTGTGGGAAAACTCGGGAATTTTCATTTTTGTACCATGCTGAAAAGCAGAACTTTTCACAAAATGGAAATTCCACTTCCATGACAGCTCTTACCCTGACCATCTGAAAGTTAAACCTTCCCCTGCCTTTATCACACGTGAGCAGTAAAAAACCACTGAAGAGTCCCCAGAATGAATTTCACAAAGTGCCTTTTGCAAAACATCTTGAATAGGTGCAGTCAATCGATATGAACGGCCTGAGACTGAGAGCAATTGAACATGGTAGGAAAGAAGCAATTCCTTATAAGGTGTTCTTTGCCATCACAGCCCCGGCTGAGAATCGGGACAAACGACAGCAAAATGTGATTTGTGGGAGAAAAGCCCATCTGCCAGCGCCAACCTTCCTCAGCTTCAAGGTCATATGGAGGGCAAAGCCAACAATCCGCCAGCCTCAACCTCCCTGTGCTGCTGCGGACACGGAGAGAAATAATAATTGAGGACAGTGCTGTTAAAAGCCTTGAAAACCAAGAAAAAGGAATAGGAAGAATGGGAAAGAGACTGGTGCGGCATCTCAGAGGAAGTGGCCACAATTTAGCAGCTGGGTGAACTTTAGTTACTGGAAGTGGTTTGGTCCCGGGGTGTCCAGCACTGACAGCCTAAAGCACCTAAAAGGCAGAAGTTTTGTGGTGAGTCTGCAGATGCTGCTTTTTCGCGTAATGGTGATAGGAAAATATTTTTAAATCAGCATCTATAAGTTGCTGTTAAATCAGGATTTGAATACAGGTGCCTGTTCAGAGAGAGACTAAGGCAGCAGTGGTGAGTGGTGTGTTTTTCCATCACTCCTGAGAAGAGGGAGGTCATTTTGCTCTGTTCAGCTGA